GTTCAAGGTTTAGGGGTTTAGGGTGTAGGGGTGTGGGGTTTAGTGGTTCAGGGTTTAGGGGGTTTCTCTTCGACACTTGCTTTGCAGGGCAGTTTAGGGTCTAGCGAGTCTGGCGTTCGGGGTCTGGGTTTTAAGGGTTCTGTTACGCACATAAACCAGCCTGGCACCTACAACCCGAAGCAGGAAGCAGCATGTGCAGCAAAGTTGGCTTCACACAGCCCACGGTAGATATCGTTTAAGAAAGAATTCAGATCGCGCTATTTGTTTGCGAGGTGCCTGACGGTCAATTTGCGGAGTTTGGGATGAAGGATTTAAGGCTCAGGGTTTGGGGTTTTGAGGATCCAGTGTGCAGTGTGGGTGTGTAAGGGTTTCATCTATTTTACAGACGAACTACAGGCCCACAACAACTATGGCCGAGACGCTACATGGATACATGCTGTTGTCAGCCGTGACACCCAAGAGGCAACGCCTACTAAGGTGTCGGACGGTGTGGGGCTTGCGGATGCTTTCGGGTGCTGAGCTTGGGGTCTAACTTGACATTATAAAACTTGTTACCTTTTGAAGGACTTGTATTAGGAAGTCAGAATACGGAACCCTGAAAAGGTCCGCTATTGACAAGGATTTGGTGTCACCTTGTACACAAGCGACTCAGCTGCGCACAGCGAATCGAAGGTTGATGGGTGCTTGCTGCCAAAAACTTCGTAAGCTTCATCGTAACATCCCCGCAACGTCCAGGCCCTACAAAAGCCATGTGAACTTCAACATTCCTGTAACCCTAAAACCCTAAACCCTAAACCCTAAAAGCTTAAACCCTAAACCCTAAAGCCCTAAACCCTAAAGCCCTAAACCCTAAACCCCCTAAGCCCTAAACCGTAGTCATGACCCTTAACGTCTAAGCCCAGAAGACTCGAAAATAGACCGAGAGCTTTGCTGCTTGAGGAGTCGGGGAGTTGCAGTCGTTGCTCGCTGCTTGGGTGGCCTTGAGATAGCCCTTGAAACAAGGTTACCTAGGTAACCTTTAACCTTTTGGGGGCTTATATAATCCTACTATGATTCAAAAGGTTAACCTTTTTTGGGCTAGGGTACTCAGCCCCTAAGGTTAAACAGAGAAAACGAGAGTGGTTGCAGACTAATCACTAATGTAATTAGGCCGTAGACTGAACAGGGCGGTGTACAAGGACTTTACGAGGGTGTTGTAAGAGATGGAAGAAGAGGCTCGAGGGTGGTTGCCTGATGTGCAAGCCCACTTTCTTGTCTGTAGAGGGCCTCAGCATAAGGATCCCGATGGGGCTTCCGACTACGAGGGGTTTGGTTAATCACGGGTCTACCTTCCGATTCGGAAGTGTTATGCCCAGGATACCTCCTGCTTAATAGCGATTAGAGCGGTCAGAATCAATCCCATGTTCGAGCTTGCCTACTAAACCCTATCCTCGACTCGCTTGTGCTTCTTTTGGCTTTTGGGTCTAGGGTTGTCGCTTCCATTAGGTCCTGGCCCCAAGGCTTTACACACAGGTTTGGCGCCTCTTGCGGAGCGTTTAGGTGGGTGGATTCCTTGCACCCAGAAGCCGTGACCATACGGGTCAGGGTTTAGGGGTTACGACCCTCAACCCTGAATGGGGCCACTGCTTGGTCCACTGCCGGAACCGTCTGACCTCATCAGTAAGACCTCCGTAGCAATGCTAAAAGCCCACATCGAATCCTATTCAGCCCCATCGGTTGAGCCCCATCACACCCTATAAACCACAAACATCTTAAGCACACACAAAAAATAAAGCCACTCCCGAGACGAGGCCTCCGATCCGTGTCATGCCCTCGTGCTGGCGGACGGACCTGATGCCCTGGACTTCCGAGACCAGGCCTTCCGGGTCCAAGTGCAGAGTGAAGCGTAGGGGAACCATAGAGGCGCCTGAATAAATTACCGATATACTATTTTGGGGGGGTTCCTTATTATAGCTATAGGATAATATAAACCGAAACCCTATTTTAGTTATTGAGGCCCCTACATTACAAGTATATTAATTATCATGATGATCCTCCTTAAGGTGCTTACAACATCTTCTGACTGTATCCACCATGTCCCCGGATCCTTCTGGTAGAGCTTCCATCGGGTCTTTGCAGTGTCGAGTAGGGAATAAGGCTGACGAAGACAAAACACAACACACAACAAGGTCAACATAATCTCTATAGGCAAGCAACAGTTCACATACATATTTTACACAGCCCGCACATATCTATATCTATATATATATATATGTATGAATATGAAAATGCACAAGTACTTACATACGTACCTACATGCAGGCATTTACACTTGTTGATCTATGTACCGATAGGTTTTATTCTGCCTAGCTATGTTGCGCTAGGTCACCACGCTCAGCTCCACATGTTAGGCACTGTAAGATTTGTCAAGTCCTTCAAAACTCCAAAACACGAAGGCCCAACTACGGCCAAGCAGTATTCCCCCCTACCCCCGAGAATCCAAGCACAATCAGGAAACAAGAACAGACAAGCAACAGCAAAGATCTTAAACCCCTGCACCGGAAACCCAAACCCTGTTAAACCCCATCTAGACCGTAAACCGAAACCCTCAGCAATAAACCCAATCAAACCAGAACTCTCAACCCTAAACCCTACTAAAACCGAAACCCTTAACACCAAATCCTAATCAATCCCGCAACCCGAAACCCCAAGCCGAAGCCCTCAACCCCAAGACCTAAGTCCTCAATCCTAAACCCTAAACCCCAAGTGCTAAACCTTTAAATACTAAACCCTCAACCCTGATCTCCAAAGCCCCAAAAACCGCGAACCCTGCACCCTAAACCCTGAATCCTGAACCATGAATCCTGAACCCTGAACCCTGAACCCTAAACCCTAAACCCTACACCCTGAACCCCGAACCCTGCACCCTAAACCTTGAATCCGAAACCCTGAACCCTGAACCCTATATCCTAAACCCTGAACCCTAAACCCTAAACCCTATAAGCCTTAAGCCCTAAACCCTGAACCCTGAACCCTGAACCCTAAACCCTAAACCCTATAAGCCTTATCTTCCAGGCTCTCCTGGACTCCTTCCCGCCTGGCCTGGGATCAAGGGAGCTCTCGCTGCCCGAGAGCCTGGCCGTGGGCTTCGAGTTGGAGTCAGAGGCGGCCTTTAGGGCTCTTAGGGTTTATAGGGTTTAGGGGTTATACGGTTTAGGGTTTTAGGGCTCTTAGGGTTTATAGGGTTTAGGGGTTTTAGGGTTTATAGGGTTTAAGGTTCAGGGTTTGGGGTTTAGGGCTTTTGGGGATTAGGGTTTAGGGTTAAGGGTTTAGGGCTTAGGGTTCAGGGTTTAGG